AATCACCTGCTGAGATGAAATTTACTCTCAGTGACTGTGTAGTCATTTAATGTAAACTCAAAGTTATTAAAAAATGGTCGGACAGAACAGGATTTTGAGGAACTATTACCAAGTCCTTAATCTCTACACCATAGGTCAGAACTAAATCAAGAGTGTGATGATAAGAATGAGTAGATGTGCGGACGTTTTGGGTAAAACCAAATGATTCTATTAAATTATTAAAGGCTATGATTAAACTATCACTCTCAACATCCACATGAATATTGAAATCACCCATTATGATGATTTTATCAGTATTTAATAATAAGTCAGTTAATAATTCTGATAATTCAGACAAAAACTGAGAGTAAGCGCCTGGTGGACGATATATAACAACTAGTAAAAGTGGCTTTTCTGATTTCCATTGTGGATGAGAAAGACTGAGGGACAGCGATTCAAAAGAATCATAACTAATAACTGGTTTGGCATTAATCAATAATCCTGACTGAAAAATCGAAGCTACTCCTCCACCTCGGCCAGTTGTTCTAGGAACATGAACATTTAAATAATTAACAGGAGTGGATTCATTTATACCAACAAAATCCTCCTGTTGTAGCCAAGTTTCTGTCAGACACAATCAATCAATATGATGATCAGTTATCAGTTCATTAACTAACAGGGATTTAGAGGAAACAGATCTGATGTTCAATAATCCACATTTAATGATTTGATGATTTTGCTCTGGTAAAGTAACTGTGTTTATTTTAATCAGATTTTTATGGTTTATATTTTTAGAGCTGATTTTTGGTTTATTTAATTTGAGCCGTGGGCGAGTTGACCCTGTTTCAATGTGGGTGTGGGTGGTGTACAGAGGAGAAGCAGCAGAGAGGTGGAGGACTACAACTCTGCTTCCTGGACTGGACCCTGGGTTGTGAATAATTGGGGGATAAACAAAATCAGCCATATTTCTAGAAGGAAGAGCGGCTCCGTCCAAAGTGGGATGGATGCCATCTCTCCGCATCAGACCAGGTTTTCCCCAGAAAGAACTCCAGTTATCTATGTAGCCCACGTCGTTGTCAGAACACCACTTGGACACCCAGCGGTTAAACGACAATATACGGCTACACATGTCATCGCTGGTCAGGTTGGGGAGGGGGCCGGAGAAAACTATGGAGTCCCACATGGTTTTATAAAGTCACACACCGAAGCAACATTCATTTTATTGTGCTAATAATAGAAACCCTGCAAATCATTATAAACTGGCAAAAGGAGGAACTGTGGGACTCAGGTGGAGGCCTCAACCATCACCTGGATCAAAGACTACCTGACAGACAGACCACAGTTTGTGAGACTGAAGGGTTGTGTGTCTGACCAGGTGGTCAGTAGCTCAGGAGCACCACAGGGGACTGTACTCCAACCACTCCTTTTCACTCTGTACACCTCAGATTTCCAGTACAAAACAGACTCCTGTCATCTGCAGAAATATTCTGATGACTCTGCAGTGGTCGGGTGTATCAGAGATGGACAAGAAGCTGAGTACAGGGAACTGGTGGACCACTTTGTGGCCTGGTGTGGAAACAATCATCTCATCTTGAATGTGAACAAAACAAAGGAGATGATTGTAGATTTCAGGAGAATCAGGAACAGGTCCAACCCTATTTCCATCATG